GTACTATGACTCGGACTACTGATAATAATATCTTCTACCACTAATATTATTACTACTACTATAACTACTACTACTATTGCTAATGTACTGTAGCTACTACCACTATTATTACTGGTACTATTACTACGATGACTCCTACTACTACTACTACTACCACAACACTTAAGATTAATACTACTACAGTACTATGATATGACTACCACTACTACCTTCACTTACAAGACTAATTTGTGTTTGTTGTCTCCCACAGGTAAGAGGGCAGGTGTGGGCTGAGGAGAGGACCCTCAGCACCAGGTAATGTTGCTCTTATATCATCGTCAGGGAGGTAAGGCTGGCGAACGTTAGCCTGGCGTAGCTACCGAAAGTGTATCATTATGAGGGAGGTAAGACTGGCGAACGTTAGCCTGGCGTAGCTACCGAAAGTGTATCATTATGAGGGAGGTAAGACTGGCGAACGTTAGCCTGGCGTAGCTACCGTAAGTGTATCATTATGAGGGAGGTAAGACTGGGGAACGTTAGCCTGGCGTAACTACCGTAAGGGTATCATTATGAGGGAGGTAAGACTGGCGAACGTTAGCCTGGCGTAGCTACCGTAAGTGTATCATTATGAGGGAGGTAAGACTGGCGAACGTTAGCCTGGCGTAGCTACCGTAAGTGTATCATTATGAGGGAGGTAAGACTGGCGAACGTTAGCCTGTATCTTTGAGGCCGTTTTTTTTAACATTGTTTTGATTCTTTAGGTTAAGTCAGTCAAATGGTTGGATTCTTATTCTCTTGATTTTCGAGAATAATTTACCTAAAGAGAGAATCAAGGCTCATAAGTTCTCCACCTGAGCTGCAATGATGATGATGATGATGATGATGATGTTGATGACGATGATGATGATGATGATGATGATGATGATGATGAGTTGTTATATTGTTGGTGAACAGAATCATCGACATTATTCTTCCTGTTAATTTGTTAATGTGATTTTTTATGTTGTTGTTGTTATTGTTGTTGTAGTTTATTAGCCAGTGGAGTGATTGATTGTCATTCTTATTATTGATGTAATTTTGATAATTATTATTATTTTTACTATTATTTTTGTTACTATTATTGTTATTTTTGTGTTGATCAATAAATTAAATAATTATTATAAAAAACAGTGTATAATGTACAATGATTGTGTTAACCAGTAGATATCATCATCATCATTATTACTACCGTCATTAAGAGAGTTATTAAGGGTGTGGACAGCCTGGGTGATGGTGGTTAAAGGACTCACTCTGGGAAATATTGAGGCAGACAGTGAGGGTGTGCGGCTGTGGCGTGTGTCCACTCTATTATGAACACCCATGTACACCCTGACCATCCCTCCAGGAAACACACACACACACGTACAGTCCCCTTCACTAGTGCGTTTACAGGGGCTCATCATATAAACATTCCACAAATCATTATCTTTGAGATATTTTAATATTGTTTTAATTTGATTTTATAGTTTGTTTAATATTGTGAGTTTCCTTATGTCGAATGTAAACAAACACAGCTCTGCCACACTGCACACAACCTGACGAGCCCCTGTAAACGCACTAGTGAAGGGGACTGTACATACTGTATACCTCTTGGTGGTAGAGTTGGATCGTATTGCATAGTGAAAGAATTTTTGTCTGTGAATCTCTCTCTCTCTCTCTCTCTCTCTCTCTCCTTGTCAAGTAGAATAAAACAGTTCGCCTCAACAGATCACTTGGCGATCAGAAGGTGCCAAGGTTTTGTCCAGGTGTAGCTAGGGTGTGTGAACAACATTATCCCTGAACAGTAGACAGAATAAATGTCACAACTGTCAAAATAGAAAATTATGGCACAAATATTTCACCGGGGGGGGAGGGGGTTAGGTTAGGTTAGGTTAGGTTAGGTTAGGTTAGATTAGGTTAGGTTATATTTACCTAATTTGATAATTCTGTCAAAAACTAAATAAAAATAAAAATTGTGCGCCATTTTGACATTTATGCCATTTTTCCGACATTCCCTATCAAGGCTCACGACCAACCTTGTGGTAATGTAAGCCTCTGGGTATTACTGTAACTTCCTGTATTTTGTATTGTAATATGTACTTTTATTTATATTTGAGACTATAAATACTGATTCTACTAATACTTTAAAGTTAAGTCTGATCAAGTATTAAGACATGCCATGGAGAATATGGTGCGTTTGGTAGTTCATGGTTATTATGGTAGATGAGGGTCATGGTCGCTGGTGTTGTGGGAAATAGGTCACTGTTGCATGGGAGTGAGACAAGCCAGGCGAAGCCGTTATATAAGGAAGGAGAGGTGAGGTGAGGTCAGCATTGGGGAGTGTTGAGACTTGTAGGGCAAGAGAGTGGACCTGCCCGCCACCCCACCTGGTGTAGGGCCCGCCACCCCACCTGGTGTAGGGCCCGCCACCCCACCTGGTGTAGGACCCGCCACCCCACCTGGTGTAGGGCCCGCCACCCCACCTGGTGTAGGGCCCGCCACCCCACCTGGTGTAGGACCCGCCACCCCACCTGGTGTAGGGCCCGCCACCCCACCTGGTGTAGGGCCCGCCACCCCACCTGGTGTAGGACCCGCCACCCCACCTGGTGTAGGGCCCGCCACCCCACCTGGTGTAGGGCCCGCCACCCCACCTGGTGTAGGACCCGCCACCCCACCTGGTGTAGGGCCCGCCACTCTACCTAGTGTAGGACCCGCCACCCTACCTGGTGTAGGACCCCCCACCCCACCTGGTGTAGAGTCCGCCACCCCACATGGTGTAGGATCCGCCACTCCACCTGTGAAGGCCGGCACCCCACCTGGTGTAAGACCCGCACCCCACCTGGTGTAAGGCCAGGCGCCCCACCTGGCGTAGGGCCCAGCGTCCCACATGGTGTAGGGCCTGGCGCCCCACATGGTATAGGGCCCAGCACCCTACATGGCGTAGGGCCCGACGCCCTACATGGTGTAGGACCCCGGCACCCCACATGGTGTAGGGCCCGGCACCCCGCCTGGTGTAGGGCCTGGCACCTCACCTAGTGTAGGGCCTGGCACCCCACCTGGTGTAGGGCCTGGCGTCCCACATGGTGTAGGGCCTACCCCACCAATTCATCAGTCTTCACACTGGCGGATCCTGGTGGTGCTGAAGGATTCATGTGGCCCCTGTTGTTGCATCCTGCCTCTGGCACGGGGTCACTCACGCTCCTTCCTCTTACAAGGTCAAATAGGACTCGGCAAGTGTCTTACTGTGTCGTAACATTAAAAGCAAAAAAAAGGTTGACATCTTTATTAAGTTGACTTTGAGGGGAATGATGCCTGATTCATACAAAGACAAATATGAAGACTAAATTAGACTCTCTTGGTGTTTCCTTAACGTGTAACCTCAAAGGAAGAGGGTAATGACAGCCTCATGGAGTTGAAATGGTAGAGTCGGTCTTATGCTTCAGCTGACTTGCAAGTTAAGTAATGTGACTTAAGCTGCCTAGGAGGAGGATATTATTACCTTTTAGTGCTTACTAACAGGAGGGTCATATGGTAGTTATTAAATGTAGCGTGTAAGAAACTTTTATCCTAATATGAACAACTCTGAGATGAATACAGTGTCAGATGAATTTACTTTCTGCCTTGTGTTGTATCTCTCAGTAAGACAGGAATTATGTGCGACATGATGGACAGTCGACAGCCTTAAACTCCTTCTCTTGGACACTGACACAATATGTATTAAATACTTGCCTTTTCTCCTTCCCCTCAGAACCTTTCCAGGTATCCAAATTATAAAAATGACACAACATTTGACATTCAGGGAAAAGGGTGTGCCTAAATTTACCATATATGTGTTCTATATATTTATAAAGTCATTAATATGTCGGTATTTTGTACTAAAATACCGTAATAGTCGTAGTATTTACCCACACAGGCGACAGGTCTTGGAGTTATTAACAGTACTCTACCTGTCATCTCTCTCTCCTTTGTTCCTCGCCTTTTTTATGGTCACTCGTAGTTTCCGCGCGACATTTTCCTGCCACAGTTTAAACAGACTCGACGGTTAGGAGGTCCTCAACGTGCTGGAACAATGGCCCTGTAACCGACTCTCTCAACAGAATCCAAACGTTCTCGAGAAAAAATGTCAACTGGTAAAATAGAGTAAAAATACGAGGAGCAACAGTAGCACGATGAGTCTATTTCCTCTACTATTTGTACCTTAGACTATTCCTATGAGAGTGACTTACTTCAGATGCAATTCTAAGTTTTTATTTTCAAAGCCATACACTTTTTCTCGTTACAGGTAATTAGAGCGCACCTAACTGGCTCAATTAGCCTGCGATGACGGAATTAACGTTGGTATTACATTGAGTCTCAAAAAGTGACAACATGATGCTATCTTTTACCTTCCAGTTAAAGTGAAAATACGAGCAATTTTCCGTAGCTGTTGATTGGTCGAGAGATATTACGTCACGAAGGTTTTGATTGGTTAATAGTTCCTTTGGTCAACTGCCTACTATTTTCTAATCTTTCCTGCTCAGTACTGTTTAGGGTGGAGCGCTCAAGTGGGCTGTCCGCTATCTTTTTTTCTCGTTATCATACGTGAAGAAAAATAAAGAAAAAACGACTGCTTTTGTTGACATGTCGAATCTGACGTCACGGAGTTCCAGATTAGTGTTGGAAAAATCTGGAACTAAAATTTTGTCTTGTAGTATTAAATGTTTTGAATAAACCGCCTCACGTTTGCCTTTTTTTCTTTCTTTTTTTTATTAAATTGTAAATAACAACGATAACGTCTTCCTGGTTGGCTAAACGATTATGACATCACGCTTCACGTTACCCATTATTGAAATAGCACCAAACATTGTGGAGGATGACGTCGCATATCATTATTGTCTGAAGATAATGACGCCACATAGCTTGTTCCTGATTGGCCAAACATATCCTCCCCTTTCCTCACGATTGGTTGGTTGATTGGCCCTATACTGTATAGCCGCGAAGGCTCTGGCTCGATCGTGTCCCAGATGACTTCAAGACCCCGTATGGTCGCTACTAGTCCCCAAGTCCCTTATTCGGGTGAGTTGGCCGCCCCGACGACGCTCGACAAGACCAGGTGGGAACAATGAGGTCGTTAAGAGAGGTGAAAGTTGAGATAGGGATCCGAAAGAGGTCGTTTGGGCAGTAATTATACAAACAAGTTAGGTGGCGCTCCTGAAGACGTTGTCCCAGAGCTTGTGTTAAAGGTCGTGTTGTATCCAGGATGGTTTCAAGTTTTATTTACTGAATGTTACACAATAAAGTTTATTAACCGTAGTTGTAAAATTAAGTTTATCCGGTGGCAATCGTAAAAAGAAAAGTATCCATTTGGTTGTAATTAGCAAGTGATCTTTGTAAAAAAACATATCCAGCGCAGGTCATTGAAAAGAAGTTTAATCCAATGGAGATCAACTGATGTTTGGTTTAGAATCTAACAACATTGAACGTGTTAAAGGAAGTCTCTAAAAATGGTCCGGTAGTGTTAAAGTTTATTTCGAACTTGGGAAATGAGTTTAGAAATTTATAGAGAGAGAGCGAGCGGAATAATTTGTGTGTGGTGTGTGTGTGTGTGTGTGTGTGTGTGTGTGTGTGTGTGTGTGTGTAAGAAGGTTTTGTATATATATATATATATATATATATATATATATATATATATATATATATATATATATATATAATATATATATATATATAACATATATGAAAGAATATAGGAAAACATTTCAAAGGAAGACGGTGAGAGGAGACGAGGTAATATCGATTTTCCGAGACTAAGAGAAAGAGAGAGAGAGAGCTGGGGTGAGGTAAGGTCAGGTGAGAGGCGAGGTAAGCTTATGTGAGAGAGAGAGAGTTCTGGACGAGGTAAGCTTACATGTGTGAGAGAGAGAGAGAGAGCTCACCTGTATACATACTAATAATTACACCTGTCTACCTGAGCTGCCGTCAAACACACACATACAGTACACATGACAGGTGAACATAGTGTCAAGCCTCCACCATTATGCCAGTCACTATATTACTGTACCTGTTACTTAAGGTGATGGAAACATTTTAACTGTATCTAGTTTAAAGCAACTCCTTCCTGATTCTGTAACTAGGCGGTAATTACATAGTCACCGAGTGGTTATCACTGTACTGTACTTGTATTTTACGCCTAAAACTGTACCTGTATTGGTGTTTCAGAAAGCAATACCACCAATACTGTACCAGTATGTAATGTATACCTAATTATGCATACCTTTACCTTCGCCCATGTATTTGATGATACCGTAACTTAAGTGGATATTACTGTTATTCTGATTTATACTTCAAGCTTGTAATTATTAATATTAGTATTGTTTCACTTTTAACATGTACCAATAATGATCTACGTTACCTGTTATTAATGTAGGTGTGTCCAGGTGGTCCTCTGTATCTGTTGTCGTTGTTTAAGTGATGTTGACTGTCTGGCCGGTGGTGCCTTGGGTTTGGATATCTCGATGACAGGAAGACAGACAGGCAGATAGACAGACAGACACGCACAAGTGACAGACTGGAAGAAGGGAATTTAGACAGACAAGGATGGAAGGGAAGGCTGAGACATGAAGGAGAGGAAATAGACAGCCAGACAGGGAGACAGACATTCAGTTAGGTAGACAGACAGCTAAACAGACAGCCAGGTACCTAGGTTAATCGGATGGTGGCCAAGTGAAAGCCGCAGACAGGCAGGCAGTGCGGGCGGGGAGGCAGTGATGGCAGACAGGCAGAGCAGTGTGGGCAAGCAGGCAGGCGGAGGCAGGCAGGGTGTGGGCGGGATGCAGTGATGGCAGACAGGCAGGCGGTGGGCAGGGATGCAGTGATGGCAGACAGGCGGGCAGTGTGTGGGCAAGCAGGCAGGCAGACGGAGGCAGTGTGTGGGTGGGGATGCAGTGATGGCAGACAGGCAGTGTGGGCAGGATGCAGTGATGGGAGGCAGGCAGTGTGGGCAGGGATGCAGTGATGAGACAGGCAGGCAGTGTGGAGCAGGGGATGCAGCAGGGCAAGCAGTGTGGGCAGGGATGCAGTGATGGCAGACAGGCAGGCAGTGTGGGCAGGGATGCAGTGATGGCAGACAGGCAGGCAGTGTGGGCAGGGATGCAGTGATGGCAGACAGGCAGGCAGTGTGGGCAGGGATGCAGTGATGGCAGACAGGCAGGCAGTGTGGGCAGGGATGCAGTGGCAGACAGGCAGGCAGTGTGGGTAGGGATGCAGTGTGGCAGACAGGCAGGCAGTGTGGGCAGGGATGCAGTGATGGCAGACAGGCAGGCGGTGTGGGCAGGGATGCAGTGTGGCAGACAGGCAGGAGCAGTGTGGGCAGGGGATGCAGTGATGGCAGACAGGCAGGCAGTGTGGGCAGGGATGCAGTGTGGCAGACAGGCAGGCAGTGTGGGCAGGGATGCAGTGATGGCAGACAGGCAAGCAGTGTGGGCAAGGGATGCAGTGTGAACAGGCAGGCAGTGTGGGCAGGATCGTGGCAGATGGAGGCAGGCAGTGTGGGCAGGCAGGGCAGACAGGCAGGCAGTGTGGGTAGGGAGTGCAGTGTGGCAGGCAGGCAGGCAGTGTGGGCAGGGATGCAGTGTGGCAGACAGGCAGGCAGTGTGGGCAGGGATGCAGTGATGGCAGACAGGCAGGGTGTGGGCAGGGATGCAGTGTGTGGCAGACAGGCAGGCAGTGGGCAGGGATGCAGTAATGGCAGACAGGCAGGCAGTGTGGGCAGGCAGGCAGACAGGAGCAGAGCAGTGTGGGTAGGTTGCAATGGCAGACAGGCAGGCAGTGTGGAGGCATACAGGCAGGGCAGACAGGCAGGCAGTGTGGGCAGGGATGCAGTAATGGCAGACAGGCAGGCAGTGTGGGCAGGCAGGCAGACAGGCAAGCAGTGTGGGTAGGGGATGCAATGGCAACAGGCAGGCAGTGTGGGCGGGCAGACGGGCCAGCCAGGCAGGCAGTGGCAGGACGGACAGGCAGGCAGGGCAGAGCCGGTGTGGGAGGGATGCAGTGATGGCAGACAGAGCAGGCAGTGTGGGCAGGCAGGCAGGCCAGGCAAGCAGGCAGTGGGGGCAGACAGACGCAGCCAGGCAGTGTGCAGACAGACCCAGTGTGGCCAGGTAGGAAGCAGGCAGTGGTGGCAGCAGGAGCAGGCAGTGGGCAGGAGACAGAAAGCAGTGAGGCAGACGGGCAGGCAGGCAGAGGTAGAGGGCAGGCAGGCCAGGCAGTGAAGATAAAGGTCAGGCAACAGAGAGGCCAGAGAGGGGGGAGGCCAGACAGGCAGTGAGTAAGACAGACAGACAAACAACTTCAAGCGTGACAGACGGTGAACAGGTGGGCGTGGCAGAGTGGAGTGTGGATAAAATTGGAGTCCAAACTTTAAGACTCCAGCTCTCACAAAATCAAGTACATCTAGTACATCGTCTCAAAGTACCACTCATTCTGTTACTTACTGTTTCTATGTGACAGAGACGAGAGGTGCCTGGTAGTGGTGGAGGCTAGCAATCCATTTATCTAGCATGTGTGGAGAGGGAGGAACGGAAGAAGGGGAGAAGGAGGGATGGAGTAAGAGAGAGGGAGAGAAGGATGGAGTGAGAGGAGGGGGGAGGAGAGGGATGGAGCAGAGAGAGAGAGGAGAAAGGGATGCGGGTAGGGAGGAGAGAGGAGGAGAGGGATGGAGAGGAGGAGAGAGGAGGAGAAAGGGGGAGTAGGAGGAGGAGGGATGGAGGAGGAAGGGATGGAGTGGGAGGAGAGAGGAGAAAGGATGGAGGAGAATTAGGAGGAAGCAGAGATTAACCCATGAATTAGTAATCTGGGAATAGCTATTTATAGATTGTCTTAACAAGGCTGTTATTGTCTTGGCTGTCTGGTATTCAGTTGTATCTGTTTTCTTGATATGTTCTTGAAATTGTCTCTGCTGCGTTTATCTGTTTATAACATAAATCTTTAATCACTGTTCTGTTAGAGTGTCTATTTAGTTTCTTAACAAACAACATATGTCTATATTGATTCCCTGATTGCATTCCATTGACGTCGCTATTTGACTTTTATTTAGCTACTATCCTTGTTTTAATGTAACTATTGTTCGTCATTTTGCTTACTTACTGTTTATTTAACTGCTCTTATGTTTTGTTTTAATGCTTATTAACCATTATTAATATTATTAATATTGTGTGATGTTTATCATTGGCCAACAGATGTTCTTTGGTGGGGAGGTTTGTCCCGGGGGCTTTGACCCCATAGCAATCAGTGTTTATGGATGGATGGATGGATGGATGGATAGATGGATGGATGGATGGAGTGGATAGATAGATGCTGGGTGGATGGATGGTGGAATGGGTGGATGGATGGATAGATGGATGGATGGATGAATTGGATGGGATGGATGAATTGATTTGGATAGATGGATGGATGGGACTGGATGAATGAACAGATTGAAAAGATGGATGGATGGATATAGATGAATTGGGTGGATGGATGGATGGATGGATGGATGGATGGATGGTGGGTGCTGCTGTTGTATGTGTGTTATGTCACTTTCAGGCATTTGTGGGAAAATGGGTTCAAAAGGGAAGACTTGACAAGCGTCTGCAAGGCCGGATCCTTAGATGCATTTTTGTTTTTGTCCGGATGTTGATAAAAGTGTATGTGTTCCTTGGTTTGAAGACAGTGGTGGGTGG